ATTTGTGCACAAATAACATCGGGTGACGGGTCTTCGATTTTTTTCCCGCATTGTAGACTCCAGCAGGAAGAAACCCCATGCAGTGACGTGTACCGCAGTGGGAGGGGTTTCCAGGAGCTCAGCACAGTGTGTCTCATTTGGGCATGAAAGGTGTGTGCGAAAACGAACACCAAACAACAACCACGTAACTGCGCATCATCTGCTGATCGACCATACTGAGCCCTAAACTGACAGTCAAGGGGAAGGGACATCTAAAGATTGATTGGAATTGAATTAAAGTTTGTTTGGCCAGTGACATTAAATTTTGCTTCTCCTAATTTTTCATAAGCACTGAAGAGTTACTTTAAATGAGCTCAGGAGCTACTGGTTGGGGACCCCTGGTCCTAAACCCACCCTTAGATTCTTTACAATGTGACAAAGCTTTTAATTTTTAATGTCAGACTCTGAAACGYTTTGTTGAAACTTCATAATCAAAATCTTACTGCCTCTAGATTGAGTGCATATTTTCTGCTTCCATGAAAGACAGCTTTGTTTGGGCTTTCAGTTAGATGCTGCACTTTGTTCAGTCGTTTGCATTTTATGTTTAGTCTTGAAAAAGAGTTTTAGATGATGGCAGCACAGAATTCCCCTCAGGCTCAAATCACACACAACTAAAATAGTTGTAACCTTGTTTCTGTTGYTGCCCTTTAGATTTATGTTTTGGAAGCAGATGGCCTTCACAATCCTGCCCTTTCTGACCTCTTCTTTCTCTGTCCACACTTTGTGAAAAGCTATATCCTGGTGTCGACCTTGCAGTGTGCTACATGAGTAATTTTTTTTCTTTTTCTTCCTTTTTTAGATCATTTCCAAAATGAGACAAGAAGGAAATGACTCTTGGCTAGCACTGGAAGACACATAAAACTTTAAGGAAGCAACTATTYTCATTTTCTGGAACCAAGAAATACCCGATCAAGCAGATTTTATTTGTTGGTCTTTGTTCAGAGAACCTCGATGCGTTCACTTATGGAGAACCGGGGGTGAGCTGACACTCTCTCCCCCTCTCAGTATGCTAGCTCTGAGAGTGGAGCAGGGAGGGCGGGGGCTCGATGAGGTTGAACGCCTGCGGAAGGAGGCTACCGCCGCTTGGCAGGGCCGGCAGTCAGGGAGACCAGCCTCCCACGAGCGGCGCGCTAACATCAGGGAAAAGATCTCCCAGTGGGAAGTCCGCAGTCAACAGGGCAGCAGCCAGGACGCCGGAGTGAAAGTACACCCTCCCACCAGAGCCCGAACTTTCTCTGCAGACCTCCTGGGCAACGGCCGTTCCAGTGAGAGCCCAAGAGAAAGCCACGCAAGAGCAAAGAGTGTCGATTTAGATTTTAGGGAATCCCCTTCAAACGTTGAGCTCCRTGTGGTCGGTCGGAAGTCGGAGCCTTTGCAGAAATGTTCCACTCAGTTTTCAACCACAACCCCAGGAAAACAAACACTTCCAGCACAAACGTTCACATGTTCTAAAGATGAACCCAACAACACTTTTTCTACAACTAACTCGGTGTTTTCAGCCAACAAAAGTCTAAAAGCGGAATGGATTTCAGGCGACGAAAAAGTCTCCAAACCTCTACCTCCTCCGTCGGCTGACGACCAAGACGACAACATGCCTGCTGGGAACTTCTACACGTTGCATGGTTTCTGGCGGAGGCTGGAGSGGGGGAACAGACTGGGCTGGGAGAACAGCAGGAGTTCTGCAGGTGAAGCTCCCCCGCCTCCTCCCAAACCTCAGCGTACGTTTGAGTATTGTGGAACCAGCGAGGACAAGACGGGCCACGCGGCGCAGTGGGACAACAGATCGGCTTACAACCACAACAGCAGCCGCTCCAACACGAGAAGCAGGAGGGTGGCCCGTCCGCCCAACTTTCCACCTCCTCCGTGTCCGGTATCTCGGGGGGAAGGACTTTCAAGACATAAAAAGAACAGGTAAGCGCAAAAAGCAGAACTATTTATGGAAAACCTTAGGRATGCACAACATATCGGCATTAACACCGGTATTGGTCTGATAAGTAAAACTGGGCTGATATTAATGTCTGATATTGATTTCCCGATTGTTGCTGTTTGGGTTTATGTTTTGGGAGGGGAAAAGGTTGGTCTGTTTGATCATGATAGTGTCAGTGTCACTGCAAAGCCAGGAATAACAGAAGTAGAGAGCCATGTTAGTGATCCGGTCACTTTTTGCAGTATCAAAAAAAGACACAAGTATGTTTGTGCGTATGCATATATAAATAATTTGTGTGTTTGTGGAATATTGGTAAATAATGGTTATCGGCCAAAACAGCAATATTAATATCAGACATACCGGCTGACATTTTCATATTATTAATATAGTGCTGGGCATAGATTAAAAATTTTAATTGCGATTAACCTCAAGATATTTTTGCGATTAATCTCAATTTTTTTTAGGAACGATCACTCTACTATGGCTGAATGTGTACGTTTGTATGTTGCAATACATATGTGACACACTATGTACATTTTTTCTTTTGTTTTTCATTTTAACTTCTTATTCCTTATTGTATTTTTTTCTAACAGTGGCCGCATCTATCTTTCATTCCTCATAATACTCATTTAGAATGACAAAAACATCCTTGATTTCTTGWTTTAATTTCATTATTCTGCACAAAATTTAACTGGCTCAAATACACTCACCGGCCACTTTATTAGGTACACCTGTCCAACTGCTCGTTAACACTTAATTTCTAATCAGCCAATCACATGGCGGC